ATAGATAACGAAAAAAATATTCATAATCCTAGATTTCCCATGGTTTAGTCAGGAAATGCGATAGAAATAAGTCAGAGAACAATGAAAGCCATTGTTTAAAAGTGTCAAAAATATGTCTAATTTGGAAACCGAATAATTTATTTTGTCAAATTTTCGTTTTCGTGCACATTTTTGTTTATAACTCACCAATCGTACGACATAGACAAATGACGCCAAAGACAAAAATAAAGAAAAAACATTGAAAAATAAAAATTCCCCTTGAAGCAATGTCATCCGCCGTACGATTCACATTATACAGGTGTTTAAATGATGCCCGCCAAAAGGCGGGCTTATGCAGTTGAGGGTTAATGTGGAATGGCACACTGTCTACTGTACGATGAACAAAACCATATTGCATTAAATTAAGCTGAAAACCACAAACAATTCTTCGTCATGGAGTTTTTTTTTCAGTCGAAAAAGATGCGCATTGACACAGATGTTATGACGTCAACTTTTCAATAGACGTGTGCCATGCCCTCACAATTTCCATTGCTATTCAATTCATTCTTGCATATTCAACATAACAATTTCGGTTCACAAACAAAAAACGAAGTCTCCTACGTATTTTCCAACTAAAATGGAAGTCATATCAAATTACCGCTGCAAGCATGATGGCGCGAGCAGCGAGCATTCGGTAGCCGTTTAATAAAATTGCCGTGTTTGTTGTTTGAAGAATCAAACAGATGTTATTCGCATGAATGATTTAAATTATTGGCATTTGGTACAAGAAAATTTATTCCATTTCGCTTGCCATGCGTATAATTGTCACATGGCATTCAAAATACGCTTCATTATCTTGTTTACGAAATTTTTTAATTAATAGTGAATGTTGCGTGATTCGTTTTTTTCTCTCTCTGTGTTTGTGGATCGTATGTAATGAACAAATGACAATGGAGCCATGTTCTGATGTTGCTTTCCGGTCCCCGATTGACCAAAAATCAACTTTCAAAAATTGATTATCGAAAATGAAGCCAATCAAATTTAATTGCAATATTTAAAACAGAGAGACGGCGCAGAAAAACACGAGCGGTGTGCGTGCTACTTGGATGAATGCGTCAACGCGTGTTATCCGTCTACATAAACGATGACCAAAAGAGATGATCCGATTGTTGCCAGTTGTGTGTTTCCAACAACAACAACAACAACGTGAATCATAAGTGCCGGTTTTTGGGCAATGTAAGCCTTTTGAGTCCATATGAATGCATGCAGTCACACATGTATCCCGAGGTAACAGCAGAAAAATACCCACACGCACACAATACAAATTGCCCATTTGAACAAAAACAACAACGAAAAAAGTGCCAAAAAAATCAGCAAATGTCGAATCCGGATACCAGATTCAAAACTATACTAATATCACAACGAAAATGGAGCAGAAAAGCAACTAAAGATAGAAATAAAATCCACAAGAGATGAAGACACAAACATAAGACATTGTGGTTGTTGCCGCTTTTTCGTTTGAATTTTACTCGAAAATTATGGAATGAAACGGCTAACTGCTGCTGCTGGAACACCTGCCATTTGTTTGGATATACTTACGTTCTCGTGCCTTTTCTTTTGCTTGCCATTTTATTCCTTGCCTTTTTTTCTTGCTTCACCCATACATGCACACACGTTTCACAGTGTATTACGTTTTTTTTATATTTTTGCACAAATGGAATCGCTCACTACCACTAAATAACACTTCAGGAGACATTTGCATTGCTATAAATTTATGAAGACTTGATTTGTAAGTATCCTAGAAAAGATGTATAGCATTTGAAAAGCAGAATGTTTGGAATAAAAATCTAAAAAACCACAAATATCGTTGATTTCGTTTATCATTTTATGAGTTTCATTAAACAACTTCCAATCTAGTTTCAACGGAAACGATTGAATTACACCCAGTTGAAAGCAACGAACTATCAGATGCATATGACAAATAACAATAAAAGTGTAAAACACTGAATAATAAGGTGTACACGAGCCACACACTCGACTTGTCATGTTGAGGCACATTTAAAACGACCAAGATAATTAGATAGCATGGCAAAAGAGAGCTCAGTAAAAACACCATACTCTTTGCTAACGGTCACAATATCTCTCAACAATTTTTTTAAACCAAATTCATCGCAATTGTACGAAGGTTGATTGTACAAACGTACATTTTACACGAGCATAGAGTATAAGATGTAAGAATTATCATTGATGTTCTTGCGATTTTATCGATAAAAATAACGACTTAAAATCATAAATGACGCCGCTGATTCGATGCGAGTAAATATTTGATGAAGGAATGATGTAGCGACGCAGTGTGGAATGCTGATGCAAAAAAAAAAACCAAGTTGAAATCACGTGTAACGGACGAAAATTCGAAATGAGAGCAATCGTGATTTCAGACGGATATTTGTCTACGTTGAATCCGCAGTTTGATTCCGAATTCATAAATCATAGAGCTGCCGACGGGTGCAATACTTCAAACAAACACGCAATCGTATCACTGTCGATCGATTTTATCGCAAAAACCCCACCAAAAACAATGGACATTCATTGCTTTATAAATTGATTGAATGTGCATTCAGTCGGCGTGCCTTTCCGGCAGAAATGTGAAATAGCACTACAATTAAAAACGCAAACAATACCAAATGATTAAATGTGGAATTTAACGAAAGGTGTATTTCAAGCGTATTTTGAATATTCGTTAAAAATGAGCCGTTAATCCGGCACTTTTAGTATTATGCTGCGAAATCCTATCAATTTTTTTGGTTCATACAGAAGTCAGGGGTATGTACCATGAAAAAAAATGGTCGACCGTAAACTGGTGTGATTTGATTAATCACACGGATTAAATTGCTGTATAGATGCATTTACGAAAAACATTATGCTGAATGCTTAAAATGGTATGCAAACCATATGCCTGAAAGTGATCAAGTTCAAGGCACTTATATTTCATAATGGAAATAAATTCATGATGCGCGCACTCACTCACTCACTTATACTTGCACATCTGTTCGATGGCTTTGTGTACATCATGCAACGGCTCAAATCGCCCTGCGTAACGACTTATAAGTCATGTATGTGTACAGTGCACAGTGTATAGAGTGATGTCAAACATGACCAAACACACATCATGAAACTCATTAACAAGATACGAATAGCATGTTCAGGTATTTTTCACCTTTTTGGTAGATTGTCATCTTTTCTCCCTTTTCTTATTGGTCTTTTCATCTTTGGTTAACCCATTCATCGTTATGATGTCAACAACTATAATTCCTCACTGCAATCATAAGTGCCACGAAACCACATTTTGAATCTTCAAGTTTTTATTCAGAGATATGAGTGTTTGAAAAATATGTCGTCAATTTGAAAAAAAAAATCGGGGTTAAATTCACGTGCTTATTTTCATTTTACGTCACTCTGTCAATTTTTCAGTCAAAAACCGAAGAAAATTGCCGTAAGGAGTGGGTTAATAAATAATGTCCACACAAAATGATCGTACTTATTGTATGTGTGTATGTATGTGAGGGGATGATATTAACGAGAAAATTCCACATTGCGTTCGAATTGCGTGCTGCATTCGCTAAATTACTTACATTCCTTCAATTCTCCATTCGTATTCATTAGTCAAATAAATATGCGTTATGACAAAATGTGTGTTTGCGCTGCGCTTAGAAATTCGCTCCGACCGCGATTCGTGCATAGCTCTTGAAAATGTGCAGATGTTGCTTAATCACTCTGACATGTTGATGTGAAATGGTAAAAAGAACCGCGTACAAATTAAGAGAGAGAGAGCGAGAGAGATGAATTTTGCTTCTATCTAAAAATTATTTGGTGGTTTGTTTTGTGTCAATATTTTTCTAGTATGACCAAGAAGAATACGGGTGTGTAACGTCATGAATGTTCAATTGTTCATCATGGCAATAGTTGTTTGCATTGTGCGTGGTCTGATGAGAGATTAACAGCACCGGTATTTTCACTGAACAAAGATCAGAGCTGCGTTGAACTGCTCCTCTATTCCTGTACTTTACAATGTAGCAATCACAGTTCAACGAATGCGATTGTTGTTTGGAAATCCCAAAGTGGAGCGGCACAAACTATGAACTGTAGCCAAAAATTCAAAAGGGTTGAGTCATCACCAGTTGACACACGTGCTTCAACCCAATGTTAATACCGTGCAACAAAGACCATAGCAACATAGAAAAGTATAAATGAAACAAATCTTGTGGGTAATGAATGCATTTTTTTTTGTATTGTTACGTGAATGTGCCTTATACACGATGCAAAAATAGCATAACAGTTGTGGTGCTGCTGACGGTAGATGGTCGTTTTCTTTATCGTTTATATTATCGTTTTATAATAATAAGTGGTTATTCGGTACTACGGCTACGCGCATTCAGTGAATATTAGGATAAAAGTGAATGACGATGGTCCGTCTTTCACAACCATGCGGTAAGTGCGTTCTTCGAATAAACTTTCGATACCGTGCAATCATACCAGTTCGGAGAAGCACATGCGTATGTCGAAACGAACGGCCAACGACGACAAGCGACCGCGAACCAATTCCATGCCGTATTCTCTTGCTTTCCGTGTGTTTTCCTTTTTGTTATGTCTGTTATTGTTGTTGTCATCCTGTTTGAGTCGTCAGTTTCGATGTTTGCGTTCCACATTGGTTGCGTTGCTTTTGTTGATTTTCTTCATCCACCATGCTCCTCCATGTTCATCTAGTTTCACTCACACACTTTCTCATTCGCCTACTCCATGTATTGGCATGCATTTGTTCCGAGCGTTTTTATGCTTCCCGCATATCGGCTCATGTGTTTTCGTTCACCATTCGTACTGTACACGGCACACAACTCGAGTACGGTGTAGGTTTCGTTCGATGCGTTCACAGTTGCTGTATCCAATCCAGCACAGTCAGTGTTCGTATAAAATATTTATGCAGTCGTGACGATTCAGTTAGTTTAGAATGATCGGCCGACAGTGTTGGATGTCCTGTAAATGATAAATGCTTACATTTTCATGAAATTTGCGATGTACACATTTTGAGAAACCGAGTGACAATCATTTATTGTTCGAAATCATTAATTCAATGTTTGTTCGTTTTTTTTTCGTTTCTTCTGATGGAATTCTGAGAAACCACAAGTGAACCAAGGGATAAATTGTGTACCCTAACGAAAGTGTACTAAAATTAAAAGAAATCCAGTTAAAACGGGTTCATCGACTTTGCATATTCAGATTGATCATAATTGCAACGGACATTTCAACTCGATTAAGCAATTTGATTGCACGCTAATAAAAGGAAGATAATAAAGAAGTTAGCCTTGTTATCGGTAATCGATTCGAATCGGTTGAAAGACGAACTATATGAAAGCGAATGATAAACAATATAACAACAAAATATCGTCTCTCGATTCTTGACGAGTGATCAAGTGGTTGCACTAAAACACATATGAAACACATCAATTTGTTGTGAATGAAAAAATCGTGTGTATCGTCGGGACAACGAGAAATGAGCAAATGAAACGAAACCGAACATAACCATTTCATTTCTTAAATTGCTGACATATTTGCGGCAAATGCGAGTGTGCGTGTGTGTGCGTGCGTTCGCTTGAGTATCTACTTATTTTAACAAGATTTAACGGACTTTTATTGGGTTTCAAGGTGGAATTTTGTCGTCAATTTTTCTCACTCATCCATTGATTATGTTTCAACATTGTTTATTGTACGTTTATTCTTCCTGATTTGTTGCCATTCGTGTGTATTTCCGTTTCGTTCCGAAGCCAAATCCACTTTTTTTTATTTACATTTTTGCTCAGTTGCACGTTCAATTCACAATTCGCGCAAATCGAATATCGTTTCGTATATTAATATTTGTCGACATGTGCGTTGGTGCTCCTTAAGTTCAGTGTATCGAATTGGGTCGAACGTTAAAAAGGCTGAAACCAACTGAAGAAAGTAATTGGCAACAAAAAAAAAACGGCAACAAAAAAGAAAAACAAAAACACAGTCGAGAACAATCGGAATACAAGTATATTAAACAAGGAAAACGAAGAAGTTACAAATAAGAAGCGATCAGAGCAGAACAGAACAGAACAAAAAATAAACAGAACATTCACCGAACGAAGCTAACGAACAAAAAAAATAATTGAACCAAAGGACGGGTAATAATACGTGTGTATTGTTCTATACACTACAACGAAAACGGTTAAACAGTTGAAGTACGTGAGAAAATAATTCATTTTTGTGTGTGTGGCAGTGTGGCTAAGAGTGTATTGTATGTGAAAATAAAAGCAAGAGTCAGAAGTGAATTTCGAACAAGAGATAGACTTTATATTTTCGGTGCTGCGTTTACCCATTGCCTTGGCATTTGCGACCAAACTGAAACCAATTGCAGACAATTCTATTTTGATAACAATTTTGCGGTTCTAGTTGTAATAAAAGCAAATGATCAAACACATCACTACGCACACTATCTCTCATCCACTTCATTCACAACGGACGAGCAGACGAATTTACTTCGTACATTCTAGTAACAGTGGTATACTCAATATTGCACAGGAAAAGGCCCACAGTGCGATTGTACAGTCGACGTCAACAGTGGCATACCAGCAACAGTAGCTGTAGTAGTAGCAGCAGCAAATGAGTAATATACGATTTCAAATTCCATCGACCAGAACGCGAATGGGCTGAAACCCGGTGTTCTCTTCTCTTTAAAAATTTACATCGCACAGCTTTTTGTCTTTGTGTACGATTACACGTGCGAACATTATATAATCGGATTTTTGCGACGGAGAGAAGCCTTCTGTGGCTCATTCAAAAAGACAATTGAAACTAACCGAATCGAGCGTCCACATCAAAGTGTTGACACGCTTTTGTTGTTTGAATTATAATAAATTACATGGAGTTTGGATCAAATTGCATGGCTAGTTGTTAAATGTTATCGCTGACAAAAGAAGTTTAAGCAATGGTTTTGATGTTGAAAGTGGACCAACTAAAGAAATTGCTTTCTCGCAATTGTGTTGTCGCACCGTGCCAGTGTAAGATTACATTCGTTGCGATCATAAGCGATTAGTGTATATGTGTGTTCCAGTCGTATTCAATATAAACAAACAGAGAAATAACCGACAATAAAATAAAGCAATATCCTATGCGGATATTGGATTTAGATAACTAGTCCGTAATCGAATACAAATTTAAGTAATTAGTGAAAAGACTAAAAAGTGTGTGTGTGTCGGTTGGAAATATAGCAGACAAGGTATCAGACAAGCAAAACTCCAAATTGAATCTTTGAGTGATATTAATAGCGGAAATTCAATAAGAATGTCGTCATCAAAAATCCATACCAAAGAAATGATCTGCTCTCTAATTATAATTGTAGTCGGATGTTTGACAACGCTCAGCCATTCGACTGCAATTAGCACCAGCAGCACCGGCAGCAGCGGCACTACTACCAGCACAAGTAGCAAAACAAATTTCAAAGGCAACGGCATATTGCGCGACGGTGATGGCAACCAAGAAATTGGTATCGGAGCAGCGGTAAAAAGTCATAAAAAGCAAATAAACGGCAATGACGCTGACTTTATTGCGAACAATCCAAATGATGATGATGCCTATTCAGCGGATGATATTGCCAATGATGTGGATAATTTGAATGCATTCGACGAAAATGTGGCAGATGATCAGGCTGACGATTTTGTGTCCGTTGAAATTGACGATCAATTATCATTAAAGGATCAAATGCGTATGCTCACCCAACAGATGACCAGACGATTTCAACACGAACTCAAAGCAGCTGTACGAAAAACCAAAGATCTATTCAAATCCGATTTTCAAGCGCAATTGGAGCAATTAAGGTAAGTACTAGCTAAATTGAATGTTAATTGCTATATTTTGGTCGTTGTGCAAATATCGTCACATAAAAAGCATACATACAGTGCCCCAGTTCCACTTTTATGAATACATTCCAGCATGAAGGCATTTAAAAAAGAGCTACACCTCGCACTTCAATTAATGCATTTTATGCAGTCTTTTGCTGCCAATTTCACACAAACGCACCGAGAATGGTAGAACACCATTTCAATAAAATAGATACGATTTCAAAATTGAAACCCATCCAAATGTACATTTAAGTGAATTTGATATTTGTGCAGGTTCCGTCACGTCCCACTGCAGAAAATTGAAAAAATTTGCTATGTCTGCTTTGGACCAGCGCCCATATTGATAACGGCTTCTGTTATGGCTTCGTGCACGCTTCGCTATCATTCTCAATGCACATTAATAATTTTTCGATGTTGTCACCATTCCAACATTTTCATCGGTTCACTTTTGCGTTGGATCCAATCTATTAATCTCACCAGTGCCAATCTTCTCATCGCATTGCTCCTTTTGATAGATAAACGTATGCATACACACACACAGACACAAGCAAGGTCAGTTTCAAATTCGAAATCTGGCATCTGAAAAATAGCATTCCATCATATTGATGAGGTGTGCTTTCGTTAGTTCTATCCGAAAACAAACTCATAATCAATGCAGTTATTTGACAACAATAGTATAATATGAGCTTAGACAGATTTGTTACGACCAAGCTTCACAACACAACAATAATAATTCTCTGCGTCAGTAAGTTTCAATGCTCATATTTCTCTTTTTCTTGCTTGGTTTATGCGTTGCTACCTGCAGCGATTCATTCATGCCATAATATTTGCATAGTCGATGAAAAACAGAAATATTTAGCATATCATTCTCATTTTCATTTCGGAGAACCGATTTTTCCCCTTCTCCCACGCTCGTCTTTCTCTCTATGAGTACGTTCAATATTTCATCACATTTTTCTCGGGTGTAATTTTTTGTTAGCACTTTTTCTTTGAAACACTATTTGTCAAGGTTCTATTTTTCTCCTTTTGTGAAATTCGATGTGATAAAAAAAACTCTTCATCTCTACATATAGTTGTGACTGAGGAAACCGTTTCTTCTTACTTTTATTATTTTCATGAGAATCTGAGAACAGTTTATGAGTTTTTATTGGTTTTTCTTAGCGTCTTGTTTACTGTTTGTAGATGAAAAATAATTTTCGCTAATCCCTTCGGAGGTGCAAAAAAGAGCGCTGAGCTCGTGATAAAAATGTATGAAGCTGCACGTTTTTGCTCAAAATGAGTGGTGATGTTGTTGTTTTTCACGAACTTTGCACTTATAAAGCGATGAAATGAACTTATGAATAAAACAGTGCACTTAATAAATTAAAATGCAGCCAAATGCAAAAAAAAACAATCATGGTTTCATTGTTTCTACATCATTTGGAATGAAGAGGTGGTGCGATGCAAGTATGTTGAAAAACGAAAAAGCATTTCGCATAATTCCGACCAAATTTGTATGAAATTCTGATTTATTTCAAAAGCGAAAGAGGAGTGTTGTTGGATGACAATCGTTCATGGCTAAATGACGCAATAAATCAGGCGCAATGAAAAGAAAACCCATCGTAGGCGAAAAACTGTTTTGTGTGTCGAACAAACTCAATTTCGATCTCATTTTTCCCACTCGAAGATCAAGTAAAAGCATACACACATTTCACGCGATTTTATTTCACGCTAGATAAGCAGCAATAATAACGATACCGCTACAATCGCTTCAAGTCATTGAAAAATGCTTGACTATCACTATCACTGCGCGTCACTGAGCGTTAAGGATATTCGGCAAAATTCCGCTGAAAAAAAGCACTTTGATTCGATTTGCACATCGCAAAGGAGTAAAATAAGCTACGATATACACACACAGATTTATCGTCCTATCTGTTTTCACTGTGCGCCCCGAGTTTTTATGAGTGTGTGTTGGCGCGTTTATTCTTTTTATAAATTTCGCATATTATAAATAATTCATGTCATAAAGAATGAAAATAAATTTGTTACCTATGTGCTGTTAGGTGTTGTCGACAATGTTTCCTTCATTGGGTTATTCTACAGTGCTACTTCTGTCTTCTTCTTTTTTGTCATATTCGTTTTTTTTTCTTCTCGTCTTCGCGCTAGTACCTACTTGCGATTCCCATTATCGTAACAGAGGCTCACCCACTCATGCACATAGATCTTCTTCCGATTTTCGTGGCATTTCTCGCATTTACGCATTTTCTGGCGTCTGTTCTGTGTCGTCCCATAAAAGGCCACGCCATACTACAGCAATCAACAATTTATTGTGCTGTATTTGCAATGTTTCAAACACGTAATAATGCAAAGCCATACGCGTTTTAAAATCAAACAAACATGCTCACATACGCAGAACGCGGCCAATGTGCGAACAGTGCAAACAACAACAATAAAACACATATGTATATTCGCGGATAAAACAGCCGAAATATGTGCAAAATATGTTTGATGTTCAACGAAATGAAAGGAAAAAACAACAACATCACAGAGTGAAAGTGAAAATAAAAATTCTACCAAGCCAATTGCATTAAGGGAAGTGTAAAGAACACATGGTAACAATCGGCAAAGTGGATTTCCAAGAAAAAGTCATATTTTTAAAAATCAAAAAACGTCTCTGAAAAAAATGCGTCTGGAATTTCTGTTTTTCGGCAAAAATCGAATTTGACTTCGTGATGGTATGGGTCCGACACAAAATATCTGATTTATCCCATACCGTGAGACCCACGGTTTCATAAACGAGCATGACTTTTGTAACGGTTACAGGTTTGTTCCTCTGTACGTTCGTTTTCTGTAAGTTTTGGTCCTGGAATCTTCGCATTCTTCAAACGGAGCGATTGGAAGCTTTTCGGGCCAAAATCATATTACCGCCCTCAATTTTCTTGTATTTGCACTGGTTTTCCATTCGAATGATATCTAATAAAAATCAAAACTTAAAAGCGGGTAGTAATCGGGAGCATCAGAATGTGTTTACTTTGAAAAGAGTATTTTCCGTCAAAAAGGCCGTTCGCTAATTTTTCGAATGTTCAAATTTTTCTCGAAAAAAAAACTTTTTTTCTAGTTCTTTTTTTCGAATAGTTTAAATTAAATTCAAGTTTTCGGTTGTTTGAAATTCTCTGCTAGGATTGTTGTTCTTTTTTCTTTAGTGCGTGCATTGGATTTCCTTTTCAGTTTTGGTTTGATTATGTGGATTCACTTGAGAATGTTCGTCAGAAAATTTTCACTGCCGTAGCTTCTTTGCCCATTTTATGGCGAGATTTTTCTTTTGGTTCAATATCACGCTTAAAAAAACTAGCATAGCAAGCTACCTTCTTATCTCGGCAACGAGGTTTTTGATGGATATTAAATATTGACATGGCTTCATTGTGGGCTATCAAAAATTTTCTTCTACTTATTTCAAGTTTGTGTCGTAACGACACTGTCGTTATTCATACCGATGCTAATATTCGTTTTTTTCGCTCTTTCAAACATGTTCAAATCATTTGTTTACTGTGAGTTTGTGTATGCGAATCAGAAGCGCGTTGGTAAGGGCTTGTTTTTCCATTTGGATGATTGTAAAAAGTAATGGCAAAACAGCATGATGTTGCACACAGTCCTGAGACGCATTATAACATAAAAATACCGCAATACATATCATTTGGCGGTACTGTTTTTCTGTTGATTTTTTTTTCTTTCTCTCAAAACCTTTTCGCGCATTTCATCCGAAAATGTCGACAAAAATCCGTGGCTCTTATATATTTTTTTTTTTTGCAATGGTTGGCATCCTTACCAACCATTTCCATTTACCGTCGTAATAATTGTGCATTGTGTAGTTTTATCTTATTGTAATAGCTGCGCAAACATGGAGAGAGCCTGTTGGATGATGGAACTGTTTTGTAAATCCTCATTTCATCGTCTTGCTTGGGCATCTTCGCCATTGCTTGTGATGGTGTGTAAAGGATTGGCGAAAACGTATTATCACAATACCAACCATTGATCTGTCTCTATGTGGCAACCGGTTTTTTTTAACTTCTCGTAGAGGTGTGATTTTTGAGCCCTACTCTGAATATGGATTTCGCATTGTTGATGTAACAATGACCCATGAAAAATTAAAATTCGGTCAATGTGCGAATGTGTTTGAGATCCATTTATCAGTCACTATGATGTCTGACAGGGACAAAACAGATTTGCCGCAATAAAAGTCGGCATGCTTTTATTCAATGTTTAAACAAGAGAAATATCGCTTTTTTCTGCAGCTGTTGTGTATGAAATGGAACTTCTGAAGGCGACTAAGACAGATATTTCCATTCATATGACAACTACCGACCATTAATCATAATGGAGTATTTGCTATTTTTGTTCCTCGTGTAAATGTTGGCACCGAATTCATTTTCATTCATATCAACCTTACACACAAAGAACCGCACATACACAAACACTCGCACACGCATCGTTCCATTTGTAGTATTTTCGCAATTCAGTTCTTTGATGGAAAATGATTTAGACATAATGATGTGATAATCAATGTCAAATGGCAATTACTTTAACTAGCCCATGGGAACATCGAATGTCACTTCACGTAGTACATCACAGAAATGGCGCTTATGTCACAGTTTTATTTGGGATAAACTAGATAAATTTTCTTGCCACGCAAATCCGATAAAATTCCATTCAATTGAGATTGATGAGTCTGGCTGGCATGATATCGAATCTTGCTCCCCATTTTTCAACATTGGGTTTGCTATCATGGGTATTCGCTGATCATAGAGCCAATGATGATGCAATCACAATTGAAATCAATTCAACCTTATAAAAACAGTGTGTCACTATATAAACAGATCCCTTTGGAAATTTCAAATTGGAATATTATTCATTATTTATATTTTGTGGCCAAAATTAATGTTTCTTTCATAAATTTCTTGATTCGTTCTATCGATGGGCGTTGTATAATCTGAAGAATT